GTGTGTGTGTGTGTGTGTGTGTGTGTGTGTGTGTGTGTGTGTGTGTGTGTGTGTGTGTGTGTGTGTGTATGTACGTAGCAAAGCAATTTCATTTTAAATAAAAATCTATGCATTGATTTCATACTGGTTGGTGTTCATGCATCCTGCCAAGCCATGGTTTATTTAAGCATTTTTTTATTAATGAGCAACAGTTGGCAGAGTTTGCAGAAAATGCTAGGTCAAAAATAAATTATATTTAGATTACCACAGATTATAAAGATCATTCATCAAACCTATTGTTGGATTGGGTAATGGATAGGCAGACACAGGCTTAACAGTAACCACAGCTCTTTATTAAGTACAACAAGTGAGAACAATCCAGCGAAGGTTGAGTCTGACAGCAGCCCTTTTATAGGGAGCTGTCAGACCCATCGACCAATAGGATTAAACCTCTGTTCTCGCTGGAACAGAGGACCTTGGTGGAAATCACTGTAGTTAGAACTAATATCTAAAACCCCTCACCTCTTGGATGGAACAATCCTACTTGCAGGTAGGCGGGCTTTTGGGTAGCTCTGCCTGACCTGTGCAGTTCAGTAGGAGGGGTTTCCTTGGACAGGTCGGATGGACCTGTTTGCTCCACAGCTCTGTTTGGTGGAAGCTCCTAGAACCTTTCACAGGCCGCGGCTGGAGCTTTTAGAGCTCGTTCACTCGGAGCCCGCTGCGGAGCTGCAACAAAACCAGATAAGTTTCCCGGTAACCTCGGGCTTGAGCTGGCCGTGGAAGAAGTGAGTGTTTGCTCCTTTTGGGTAGGGCTTTGGCTAACTTGTGCAGGAGTTACCTCTCGTTGTCTAAGAGTGGAGTTGGAGAGGTGGCCACGGAATTGGTCAATATGCCTTCTCCAATTCCTACCGTCCTCGAGCTCTAAGAGGTAAGAGTGAGGGCCAGTGATGCCTATCACTGTGGCAAGAATCCACAGAGCTCCCCCTGCGTAGTTGTGGGCGTATACCAAATCCCTTACGCTAAATGTTCGAATCTTGCTTGTGGAGTCTGGGGGCGATGATGCAGAATAATTAGGATGTAGCTGGTCTAAGTGGGATCTTAGCTGGCGACCCATGAGAAGTTCGGAGGGGCTTCTCCCTGTTGTTGCATGGGTGTGATGTGCTGAATTAACAAATAGTGGTCAACCCGTATTTGCCAATCTCCCAGGCCCATCCTAGAGAGGGCCTCTTTTGCAAATCTCACCATTCTCTCTGCCTGATCATTGGAGGCCGGATGGAATGACGCGACCAGGGCATGCCTGATTCCCTGAGCTGCTAGGAAGGTCTCAAATTGCATGGCCGTGAATTGGGGCCCGTTGTCAGAGACCAAGATGTTGGGCAGGCCATGCGTGGAGAAAAGTCTTTGTAGCACCTTGATGACCGCTTCTGCCATAGTGGAGGTCATCAGGACTACCTCTAACCATTTCGAGTAGGTGTCCACAACTATGGGAAATGTCTGGCCATGAACTGGGCCAGCAAAGTCAATGTGCACCCTAGACCATGGTGCTTGAGGTCGCTCCCACTCCTTAGCGGGCGTCTCTGGGGGAGCTGTTCTGCACTCCTGGCACGGTGTGCAAGTGGCCACCCATTCTTCGATCTCCCTGTCCATATTAGGCGACCATACGTAACTCTTAGCCAAAGACTTCATCCTGACATTTCCAGGATGCCCTACATGTAAAGCCTTTAATACTGCAATGCGCAGTTTGGAACAACTGCAATGCGCAGTTTGGAACAACGACCCAGTCCTCCCACAGTAAACAGCCATTTACAACCAATAACTCATCATATTTGGCAAAATAAATTTTGAAATCAACCCCAACAGGCCCCCTGGGCTACCCTCTCCACACCCACTTCAAAATTTGCTTGATGGTGGAGTCCTTTGCAGAGTGACGGGCAATGTCACTGGACGAGACAGGCCCAGTCTCAAGGCAGTCAATGAGGAGGACTGGCGTCTCAGGGATAAGGTCAGTGAGAAGCT